AAAAAAAGAAAAGAAAGAAAGAAAGAAAGGAAAGAGGCAGCAACCCATGGCCTCCCCCGTCCCTCTACTTACCCATCCGCTTCGCCGTCTTCAGACAGTCGACCGTCCTTGTCGACCGTCCTCTTCGGTCCNGACCGTCCTTGTCGACCGTCCTCTTCGGTCCGCCCCACGTCCGAGGGGGGACAGTATCTTGAGGGATCGGTACTTTAGGATTACCCAGCCAATGTGCAAGGAGGAAAGACCGTTCGAGACGCTCCAAGCACTGGCTGCGCACCATTTGTGGCTGGTGTTCCCCACCTTTTCAGCAGATCGACCGCCAGTGTCGACTGCCTCTTCATCGGTCTTCGGTCTTCAGTCTTCGGTCTTCAGTTTTCGTAGTCGTCCATCCCGGTCGTCCATCCTCGTTGCCATCCATCCTGATCGTCCTCGTCGTCGTCCATCCTCGGAGTCGTCCATCCTCGTCGTAGTCCATCCTGATCGCCATCATGGTCCGGGTCGTCGTCGGTCCTGGAGCTCGCTGGAAAAGGTTAAAGGTTAGAATGGCCAGGTGCTAATCACTCTGGCCATGGGTTGCTGCCCGGGAAAGGAAAAGAAAGGAAAGGAAAGAAAGAATGAAAGATGAAGAGCACCAGCATAGACACTGGTGCTCTGGTGGTGATGATAGTGATGATGGTAGTGATGATCTTCAGCCCGGAGTGCGGGCGCGGGTGCCATCCGATGGGCGCCAGAGTGAGAGAGTGAGGCCATTGTCACTGCAAAGAATAAAACAAAGTTAGTAACATAACAAACAAATAAACCTTCAACACTTACCATCATCGGCGAGACATCTGATGATCTTCACCATCAAAACAAAGAGCGCGCACGGGCGCTATCAACAACAGCGGAGGCGGCGGCGGCATGACCGTCCTCGTCGGTGTCTGTCGGCAAATGAGCCGACTGTAGCGCCAGCGATAGCGGCGGCCGAGGCAGACAGTCTGCTGACAGCTGTCAGGGGTGCCCGTCGTAGATGCAATGCAAGATACCGAAATTGGAACTTCAATTGCGGATATCTCGGGAAGTACTTGAGCTATCGAAGTTCTGATTGCGCAGGGATACTTCACTAAGCGTTCTGCGACGAATGGGACCATAAAACGGGGAGGTCAGATTTTTGGCCAAATCGGCCAAAACTGTAAGGCTATAGCCTTGCAAATTTTGAAAATTTAACCAAAAAATTTTTATTGCAGATTCTGACAGAACTCGACGAGAGGACTCCAAATCTGAAAGAATTTTTGCTCCAGAACCACGGGAACATGGTCAATTTTAATTTTTAAGTTAATTAAAATTGCTATGTTTATTTGACGACCGCCAGATGGCGACAGGGGTTCCACAAACTTTATTTTCCTGGTATTCTGAACACGAGAAAAATAAAATTCACGGGCGATTTTTTGACGCCACTTTCAAGATGGCGACGACGGTGGCGTTCCTAGCGGACAACATCGGAAACTACCTGCTTTTAACGATAAATTCTGTCAATTTTTCAAACAGGCGTTTCTTGGGCCTGGAACGTCGCAGAGAGCTCAAATTTGCTTTAAATGAAAGCTAAAGACTTGGCGCACAATCTACATAAACAATAAATTATTTTTAACAAGTATTTTGTTTTTGAATCTAATTTTAAAGTTTTCAATGCTACTTTTGCAACATCAAAACTTGTCAAAACCTATTTATTTTACAAACAAATTGTGCGCCAAGTCTTTAACTTTCATTTAAAGCAACTTTCAACTTTCTGCGACGTTCCAGGCTCAAGAAACGCCTGTTTGAAAAATTGACAGAATTTATCGTTAAAAGCGAGTAGTTTCCAATGTTGTCCGCTAGGAACGCCACCGTCGTCGCCATCTTGAAAGTGGCGTCAAAAAATCGCCCGTAAATTTTATTTTTCTCGTGTTCAGAATACCAGGAAAATAAACTTTTGTGGAACCCCTGTCGCCATCTAGTGTCTGTCGGATGAAGCTGGCAAAAGAACTCTACCAGCCTGCACCAAAGTGGGATCATTTTGGAACATCAATCGGGTTTATTTAAGAAAGTTTGTAAAACAAAGACTTTGAATTAGTAATCAACAACTTTTATTTAGCTTCGGTCAGCAGTGCAAGAGACTCGGTTGTACATTACATCGGATCATCGTACAGCTGCCGCCCAAACGAATCTCTAAACACACTCTAAACAGGAAACAACACAAAGAGGCGAACAACAGTGGGACAGAACAGAAAGAAGTTCGCTGAAGCAAAAGCAGAAGGAGAAGAAGATGGAGAGGGTGAAGAACAGCAACAACACTAGGCTACTACAACTGCTAAATGCGTGAAAGTGTAAGACTACAGGATCATCATCTAAACTCTTGCCAAGACTGTGTGCACTAAACATTGGAAAAGTGGTGGTGGTGGTGAGGAAGAAGAAGAGGTCATCAGACGAAGTTCAGTTGGCCCTCGAAGGTGTTGCTGGTGGAGCTGAAGAGGTGGGAGCAGCAGCAGCAGCAGGCGTCGGTGCCGGCTCATATTCACTGGCATGTCTTTGCGACTGCTTATGCTGTTGTTGTTGTTGTTGCATCTGCTGCTGACTCTTATCATCGAGCGAGCTGGTGGAGCTGTTCAGCGCCTTGACAATCTTCGGATTGTACAGCTTCGGATCGGAGACCATGCGGACGAAGAAGCTGCGCTTGTAGCGGAGGCTCATCTGCCGCTTCCGGTCCAGCATGAACACCTCATCGGCGGCCTCATTGTCCTCGCTCTCCTTCGTCTCCTCGCGGTTCTGCTCGGCGTTCTTCCGCTTCTCCAGCTCGAGAATCTCAAAGAGGTCAGTGGCGAACTGGGCGATCACCCGGTAGGCGGTGTCAATGTCCGCATTGGCGGCGTTCTGTGCACAGACGCAGAAGCGGATGACGTAGTGGCCGTCCAGCGAGGCGGGCACCATGTGCAGCTTCCCGGAGGCGTTGATCGACGAGAGGAACTTCTGGTTCATCACGTCAGAGCCCTTAGGGGATAATAAAAAGCAGCTGTTACAACCACTGAAACAAGTACTAAAAAGAGTGAGTGACCATACCTTGAGTCGAAAGCACACCAGGCCCAGCTTCACCTGGTTCATCACCTCAAAGCGGTCGTCCTGGCGAATCAGTTTCTCAAAGCGCTTGGCCAGGCGGACGTGCTAGTGAAAATGAAAAGAGCATTAGATTTTTGAACACTTCTGATCATTCCCTCTCCTTACCTCCCGAATGTACTTCTGCAGTCCCTCGATGCCGTAGTTGCGAATGACGAACCACAGTTTGAGTGAGCGAAAGCGGCGACTCAGCGGAATACCCCAGTGCTAGTGTAGTGAAGAAATGCAAAGAGAAGAAGAATAGATGTTAGCACTAAGCTAACAAAACTTAGAATTTTGGCTTTCCATACCCGATAGTCAATGGCCCGCTCCGAGTAGCTGTGCTGCAGGTACAGCGGATCCACCACCAGCGCCTGCGTCAGCTTGAAGCGGTCCTTTACCCTGTGAAGATGATCAATTGTTAGTCTTTAGCAAAAACATAAAAAGCAAAAGCTTCAACTTACCAGAGCAGTGAACAGTCAAAGTTGACCAGTGCCCACTTGTTGGGATTCTCATTGAAGCTGCTGGCGTACTGGGGAAAAGAGAAAAGAACAAGTTGTTATTTAGTTGTCATTAAACTAAACAAACTGTTATACCTCAATGCCTCGCATCAGGTACCGAAACTCCGGACAGATGAAGGCGTTGCCGGCGTAGGCGGCGTCCACGTGCAGCCAAACTCCTGTCAAGGTAAAAAAGAAAATAGTTAGCAGTCTTTCAATTGAGTTGAAAACTCTTATCACCACCACCACCATCACTCACCCCCTTCAGCCTCACAGATGGGGCCAATCTCGTGGAGGGCATCAAAGGAGCAGCAGGAGGTGGTGCCCAGCGTGGCCGAGACAAAGAAGGGCACCAGGCCGTTGGCCTTGTCCTCCTCCATCGCTCGCTTCAGCGGCTCACCGCGCAGTGAAAAGTTCTCGTCAGTGTCGAGGATGCGCAGCTTCACCAGGGCAATCATCGCGGCCTTCTCAGCGCAAGAGTGGGCCTAAAAAGAGAGAATATGTTAATTTTCTGAAAACAAACTAACCGTCAGTTTTGCAGTATTACCTCTTTGGAGCAGTAGCCCACCAGCTTGGACATCAGCGCGGCGTCATCCGCCCCCGGTTCCGCCTTCTTCAGCTCCTTCAGCGCGGCACAGCGGGCGGCCAGCAAACAGACCAGCACACAGTCGCTGGCAGAGCCCTAAAATGAAAATGAGAATGAAAATGAGTGAAATGGAAGTCCCAACAAAACAAACGGAATGAACTGAAATGCTGCTTACCTGAATCACCCCACCGNGGCGGCACAGCGGGCGGCCAGTAGACAGACCAGAACACAATCGCTCGCAGAGCCCTAAAAGAAATGAATAAATGAGTGAAATGATGAAATCCCAAAAAAATGCTTACCTGAATCACCCCACCGCCCTTGCTGTTGGGGTCGGCAAAGCAGAGAAACTGCTCCGGCAGGCCGATCATCTGTCCCACCCAGTCGAGCATGATGATCTCCAGCTCGGTGCACACTGGACTGGCCGCCTAAGAAAGAAAGGTTCGATCATATTTAAGTGATTTTTCCAAACACACTCTCCGGTACTTGTACTTACCCAAGAGAAGCCCACACAGCCGATGCCATCGGAGAGCATGTCCGCCAGAATCGAGGGGTAACTGTTTCCCGCGGGGAAGTAAGCGTGAAATCGCGGGTGCTGCCAGTGCGTCACCCCCGGCATGATGTACTGCTCAAAGTCCTCCATGATGCTGTCCCAGGACTCGGCCTTGAGGGGCGCCGACTCGGGAAGGTAGCTGCGCAGGTAGCCCGGCTCCACGTTGGGCGTCACGCGACGCTTCGCAATCGTCTCCATGTACGCGGCAATGTACTCCACCATCTGCTTGCCGCGGTGGCGAAACTCGGCCGTGTTCATGGGCACCACTTTGCTGGGGCTGCTCGGACCACCGCCACCACAACCACCTCCTTCTCCAGAGCCAAAAAAGTTTTCCGATTTTTTATCGTTTGCACCGGAGAAGATGTTCGCTCCGCTGTTCAGGTGGCTGCTGATGTCGTTGAGGATGCTCTTTAGATTGCTGCTGCCACCGCCATTGCTGTTCCCTTGGGCATCGTGATTTACGGCCATCATTCCAGGTGGAAAAGTTACCTTTCCGTGGTGGGGATGATCCTTGATGGGCTGCAGCTCGGAGAGCTGGTAGTGGTGATCTTCTCCAAGTTCTCCGGCGCCACCTCGTTCGACGTCTCCTGAAGACTTGTTGGTGGAATCTTCCGAGTTGTGGTGATGTTGGTGCCGCTTGCCAGTCGGCGGTCGGCTCAGAAATGAGCGACACTCGCCGAGAAGGCGCAAGTAGCATAGCCAGTCGAAGTGCCACAGCTTGACGGAGGAGGTG